CAAATCAGCACTGACAGTGTAAGTGAGGCCGTTGACAGGAAGGCTCGCCAAGCAAAAGAGGCCATGGAGCTCTTCCTGGCATCCAGTCTTACTGTTTGGCAGAACGTGATGAGTTCCAACGGACGAGGCGATTCATAAACAGCCACAGGTGATGCACACAAAGCCAGCGTATATTTAAACACAGGATACACACATGGCATGTCTCTGCTGTTAACAACTCTCAGAGGGCCTGGATTCTACACGCGAGCATCTGATAGCACACGACGTGGCAGCCTTTCCTCTCAGAAAGCGTCTCAGACACAGTGAATGTGCAGCAGTGAGAGGAGCCACAGATCCCTTCAACAATAACTAACATTATTCTCTGGGCCCCAGATTTCTGCTCCAAGCCGCAGTACAAAGCCCAAATCCTCTCTTCTCCTTCTCCATCCTGCCCCCCCGCACTCCCTCCTTTAGATTTTTAAGGGATCCGCTTGAGAATTCCCTGCTCCCGTGCGTGCCTGCACAAAAACAGATTTTTATAATTCGCCGGCCCCCGGGGGAGCCGAGCAAAGGCGAGAGCTTTGGGGAAGTTCTCGGAGACAACACACCCCGGAGTGGACCAATGTGAGACCGCCATGGGACAAAAAGGGTGTTCAGCAGTGCTGAAGCAGTCGAACCGAACGAAAAAACGTCCGTTACCTTCCTAATTAAATTGTGTTCAATGGTAAATGTATATTGTAGTAAATGAGAGTCATATTAAAAGGAGAAAAGTTGTAACTGAGCTTCTCTCGATCCAAACAGAGCTGAAAGCCAATACAATGCGCCAGTCCATGGCTGCAAAAGAACGATGAGATTACCAGAACCATCATTACACTGGAGACAGACAAAGAGAAAACTACCACTTTCCCACAGCGAGAGCTTAACGGGAGCGAGTTCAGATATGATTCGGTCCGATCAAAGCTTCTTTGCGTCTGCAGTATCTACTCATTAAGTCGTTACACGTGGATGAACCTGCAGACATTTTAATTCTCATCATAGAGTGGATCCCTAAATTGACGGGTAAACAACATTTTTCACATTCACAGTAAGAGAAAAGGAGAGGAGAATATGAGAGCACCGGGATGATGATTTGGAGGTCGTGGCTCTTTTGCATTTTTTCCTCCATCTAGAGTATCACGACGCACATGCTGCGTCAGCGTGGCCGAGCGAGCTCACGCAGCAGTGGCCTTTTCCCATTTTCGCGGAACGCTCCTTATAACCACAGCCTAAAGATTTAGCTGTGCAGCCACCTTAGTTACACTTTGAACCCAGATGGACGCATTCCTCTCCAGACGGCAGCCTTTCGCCACGTGCAAGATGTCATATACGGTAAATAATCACCGGCATGTTTCCGTGTGTCCATATGTGTGTTCTGGGGATTATGCCACCAGTCGCACGCTGCCAGTGGGCAAGAGCCGCAAAGCCAAACCAGGCTTGAAGCGCTCGGCTTCAGACTGACCTCAGCGTTTCTGTGCCGTTGCCTCTGAACGCCGCGGTGAGCCAGCGTTTCAGCTTAAATGTCCCAATTAGTCAACGCAAGCTACGGCCTGAGTTCTTATCAGTACGACTCGGGCGCTTCCCTTCGAGGGAAACCGAGCCCGTCAGAGTGTTTGTGAGGGAAAGAAACGTGGCCACGCGCCAAATGGATGAATGCCTTCAGCATCCAGTGTCTGTTGCTGCTGTCCAAGCTGGGATCCATCCATGTGTGTGTGTGTGTGTGTGTGTATGTGGGGGGGGCGGTGATCATGACTAAACCCATGACCATCTACCAACATCACAGACAACACCCCCTCCCCTACATATATAAACAAGAGGAATTATTTTACAAACCACCACGGGATACATTCTTTCTGAGCGCGTCGCCGTGGCGACAACAGCAGCTTGGGGGCGACAGGAGATTGGCCCAGTGGGGTCTTTGAGTTGCTGGCCGCCCCCGCAGAGTCCCTGTCAAAAGCCAGTTCCTGTGAGAGGGGGGGTATACAGGCTCTGACCTCCTGGAGGCCTCCTGTCTCTGTTCTGAGCAGAAAAGAACAAGAGGAGATAGATGTCCCGCACACACACACACACACACACACACACACACACAACCCAGGAGGAGAAGCTAACCTTCTCCAGTTGGTTGTCACGCTTCGCATGAGAACCTTCATAATGTATCCAGAGTTCTGGATGTCTGCTCGTGAAACTAATAGTTAACTCTCGTAAGTCGATGCAGCGTCAACATGAAGCTAAACACTGTTTTCCTGGATGAATTTGCACACTAGTGACTCATAACAATCATCACGATCCAATTCCTCCGCTGCAGCGGGCGTCCAAGAAAGAGAAATAACAAGTTGATTCAGTTGTGAGAGATGACAGCCTTCGTCACAGTGCTGCACATCTGGTGTTTGACTTCTCGAACAAAGCGTGCATAGGAATATTTTGAAGATTCTGCTAACCTCCACTCTATAGATTTAAGGCCCCATGTGCAGCACGTGTTGATGGACGGCGTGAAGATGCCAGGAATCATGAGTCACAAAGGGTGAAAAGACGTTTCCGGAAATTGGTGTGAAAGAAGGAAAAGGGGAAGAAAAGAAACAGAGTGAATTACGTACATGAAGAAAAAGCCCTGAAACTGAATCAGTCGAGGAGAAGATTTAGAACACAAGGTCAGACAAACCCTTTTCCACCACGGTGCACATTGTCCAGCACAGCAGTCATGTAGACAGTTCTGCCCTTAACGCAACATGTAAACAACCGACCCGATCGGACAGAACACCGTGTGTGTTTTAGTAGCATTGGTGCCCCACACACACACACACACACACACACACACACACACACACACATAAACCAGGGCCCCTTTGCAAGATTGCAGCCCACTCATTACCCTGCCGACGAGCAGCCAGACCGTCCATCTGTCTTTATCTCCGACTCCATAAACCTTGTCCTCCCGTCTCAATTCAATAAACTCTCAACGTAAGACAGTTAAGTAAAAACAGCGTCAGGACAGACGGACACAGGAGACACACAGGACACGGACGGACACAGGAGACACACAGGACACGGACGGACACAGGAGACACATAGGACACGGACGGACACAGGAGAGCAGCGGAATGTTGGATGGTTTGTGGTTTTGTGGTTCAGATACTCCAATACGAAACTTCATCTGATGTCACATTGAAGAGTAGAAGATCTTGCACGTCCCATGGATCTTGTCCTTGGGTTTAATCATTGCCCAGCGGGCTGTACTCACAGGCCCGAGGAAGCTGCTGAAATGGATTATGTCGGCTGGTTGATAACCATCTCTTAGGGTTCATCGCTTATAGGACACACAAGACATTCCTGTGGCATCGAGGCTTGAGACGCAACAGAGAATCCGTTACCTCCAATGAAGCTATGTGGCCGCAACACAGATTAATCAATGCACGAAGCACCTAAAAGCTTCCCCCACACCAGCGGCACTGAAGGGGGATACTTTGATGTTTAATCATGATGAAAATGTTTTCTATATTGCTTGTATTTGCGAGTGCAGAAAAGGACGTATTGCCAATGCGAGCAAAGGCGAGAGACATGACAGGCAGTAAAAATGTGGACATTCTGGCTCAGCTGGAAGGGAAGTCAATGGTATAGTCAGGGATGCATGTTAACTTGCCAAAGCAGGTAGTAAATAAGAGTGGTGTTTCACATATGAAACAGACATGTCAACTTAAGGGTAAGAAAATAAAATAAAGCCACCTGCAGTTCCACTTATTGTCAGCTGGGGGCGGTGAAGTAACAACACAACAAGTTTCACAACATTTCCTAACATTATAAAAGAACCTTTGCCAATGTGTTACGAGAAAGGAAATGAATCCTTTAAGGGGGAAATCTGGGTAGAATTATGAACTAATTTGTGTTTATTTTACAATGAAAACTCCACATGGTACAATTACCAGTCAGACTATCAACCTAACCGGTTCTCCTCTAATCACTTTGGGGTCGATAGTGTGATATCTGTTTTATTCATTCATCTGTTGAAACTATTTGTTTCAAGGCCACAATGAGGACTCATTAATTAACTGCTCCTCCATAGAAACCCTAGCACATGTCTTGGACATCCATCAAACTATTGAAACACTATTATAGTTGCCTGTTGAATGACCAAAACGTCTAACCCGACTGCACAGTTTCCATCACAGCTGATCACAACTTGTTATCCCTAAAAGCAGACTTATAGGAGCCACCTGAACTGCTCCGTCCTCCCACGGGACTCCTCCACCCTGCTCGCCTGCCTCCTCGCAACAATACAGCCGCTGGGACTCGGATGTATGCATGAAGAGGTGCCTTTGTTCACAGTGAAGAATGCGCATCTCACACTCATCTCCCCTCTCCCTCTCCCCCTTAACACGCCGGTTTGGAACGTGTTGGTCGGAGGGACTGTCCTCCAAATGGTCACAAAATTGTCTTTGTACAGTCCATGTTGCTTTAAAACAAGCAGAGGCGTCCGTTCTCTACATGGACACACACACACACACACACACACACACACACACACACACACACACACACACACACACACACACAAACACACACACAGAAGCACCCTGATCCATTCAAGGTCACTCACACACATGCACATTAAGACTGCAGAAAATAGTAGAGATGCACATGCATGAAGATGAACCCTCCTGCAACAAGAAGTTTATGACAAATAAACTCAGTCAGCAGGAGTTCAACATGTTGAGGAGGAATCAAAATGTTTTGCTCCCTCTCCTGACACACAAGGACACTCTCCACGTTACCTTTCTGATGTGGCTGAGCCCTGGTGAAGAGCTCTTGGAGTAGTTCCTCATTTTGTGTAACCTGACCTCGCCGAAGACAGCATCCACTTGCATGGTTCCTTTCCTTCCAAGTAGTTTGCCCCCCCCCCCCCCTCCCTCTTCCCTGGTTTGTACACCCTACCCCTGCCACCCGACCCCTCTCACTTTGCATAGCCCCTGCCTGTAGCCCCCCCCACACACCCACGGAGTGCAGATCCGAGGACACGAGTTTGAAACAGGCCCAAAGTCAGAGCGATCCGTCCTCTGGTCCAGCCTCCAAATGTGTGCAGCTCGTTCCCCCCTCACGGCTCTGAATGCTGCACTCAGTCATTCGGGCTCCTGTCTCTCAATGACGCCGGCCCTCCTCTTTCTCTCTGCCCTTCTCAAACTTTTCCCACCCCCTAACTCTCTCTCTTCCTTCCTTCCTCCCTCCCTCCTTCTCTCGCTCTCTCCTCCCTCTCCGTTTTCCGGGACCATCTCCCCCCCGTCCCCCACCCCTCTTCCAAAGATCCCCTCCCACCCACCCACCGCTGAACTAATCTGAAGCTGGCCGGCCGATTGGAGCCCTGGTTGCCGGGGAAACAGCCTGTCCTGCTAAAAAGAAATGGAGGAAGGGAGCAGGAAGGGGCAAAGCTGAACACAACGCAATGCACACATTAAGGAAAGCCACTTTTCCTCTCTCCCCAAGAGGGGACCACATATCTGTTTACATCATGTGACAGTCGACAGCAAGGACAACAACCACAACAACAGCACGAGGAGAAGCGTGTGTGCAGACACTGACTGCGTGTGTGCAGAGAAGCGCGTCTGCATTGTTTGGGTTTCTTAGCGCTGCTCCTGTGGAACCAGTTTGCAGAAAGGAGAGGCTGGACGTGCAAACAGATGACCAGTGGGATGAATGAATAACCCCGTTATTACAAAGGTGTGTTCTGAGAAGTGCACTTCTATTGAGAATGTGCTTAGTGGTTTCAGGCTTAAAGTTAAACCTTTAATATTGTGGGATTTAGTGAAGTTGGAGCAAAAATATACTATATGGAGATTAGAAATTGAGTCATTACCCCCCTCTAATCCAATAGTTGATGAAAAGAAAAGCAATCAGCAAATATTTCGATAATCGTTTTATATTTAATTTAATCGTTTGATTTTGTGAATGTTGGATATCTCTGGATGTGGAAAACAATTAAATGTCCCAATGCAGCTTCTGTACTGTTCCATACCCTGTTTGACAGTTGGATATATAACAATGCATCATCTTTATTATAAGAGGACTATAAAACAAATCTGTAAGTAATTGTATAATAAAAAATCCCTCTAAACCGAAGTGGCGGGCAGCATCAATCAGATCTACTACTAAAATGACACGTCCACTAAGTAGGTTACCTGGGTCACACATGCATGTGAACTGTAAAACATAAATGTAGCTCTTCAGATAGTTAATGATCTTTATCCAGCTGATTAGCCCTCAAGTCTTCCACGGTATCTCCTATCCTGCTGACCTCTGAGCCCAAACGCTGACCTCGCCTTTGAAATGCAAGCGAGATCTTGCTTGTCCATCAATAGCTGTGGGGGGAAAAGGCTGGGAGGCGGGGGCTGGTAACATCTGTTTGGTGTTTATCCTACCTCATTGTGTTCAGTCCATATTAAATCCTGGGAGCGCACCGAGCCCAGTGTCCAGAGGACTTGCACCGTGGGCTGATTGCACGACTTGTGGTTTAAGCAGAGAAAATGACAATGAAATCCAACCCAGGGTGTGTTTTGTTCACGGTCTCCTTCCCTTCTTGAGCCAGATATGCATTTTGCAATAATAACGCACCTCCTAAGTAATCTTGCAGGAACTTGGCTTGGTAAAAGGACAGCAGATCCTATCAGGAAGTACTTTTTAATGCCACTTTCAATAAGGCCCATCAGCAAGCAGATGCTGGAACTGCTCTGAGGAAACATTGCTTCCTTTCTTGTTGTTGCATTCATCTCTTCCACTTTAAATAGGACCCAGGACTTGACTGTCAACTTCGGCAACTCCGTGACAACGCGATCCTGTAGATACTCGCTCTACAACATCAGGAGAACACGTCCTCTTCTCACTCAGAAGGCTGCTCAGGTACTGATTCAGGCTCTTGTCATCTCCCTCCTGGACTACTGCAACTCTCTCCTGCAGGTCTCCTGCTACCACCATTCCACCTCTGCAGCTCATCCACAATGCAGCAGCTCCACTGGTCTTTAACCTTCCTAAGTTCTTCCTCACTCCTCCACTCCTCCGCTCTCTTCACTGGTACCGGTGGCTCATCCAGTTCTAAACATGGTGCTCACGTACCATGCTGTGAATGGATGGGGTCCAGCTTACATCCAGGACCTGGTCCAACCCGACATCCCAACCCGCACTCTCCGCTCTGCATCTGATAAACTGCTTGTTCCTCCTCACTGAGAGCAAAACACTCCACTAGATCTCCACTCTTTGCTGTCCTGCTCCTAAATGGTGGAAGGAGGTCTCTGAAGACATCAGGACCATAGAGAGCCTTCACATCTTCAGACTAAAGACACACCTCTTCACACTCTACCTCCACTAACACACTAACTGCAGCACTTACATTGGACTAATAATGGTTCTTATCTACAGCAAGTTGGAAAATATTTGAGGAAATTGCATTGAGTTTGTGTCCTATGGTTGAATGTACTTATTGTAAGTCGCTTTGGATAAAAGCGACAGCTAAATGACATGTGATGTAATGTCATGTAAATAGTTAATCAATCGATTAGGAAAATAACTGTTGAAAGTTCAATGATGATAAAATAGTTAAAAGAGTTATTATTACACAACCAATGCCAATGTTCCACCTGTGCTTAAAAATATGGTAACAAATGAATTCTAGAAGCAAACAAACGTCTCGAGCATCATGCACGCTTTGCATCCTCGTTTCACTCGTTTCTGGGAGGAAACAGGAAACAGGAAACAAAGGGATTCACTTCATACTCATAATGTTCAGTTTCCTCTTTAATACGCGACTCTGCTCCTTGATAACGAGGCGCCATTTCTCATTTATATTGATATACACACAGTAACACTCAACGACACCGACAGAGACAGAAGTTTCATCTCTGGTGACTGCGCGCCTCGTCACGTGATCTCTCGGGCAGTACGTCACACCCGGAAGTGGAATTGGTTTGCGCGGAGGCTGTTTGGCTGGTAGGGACAGTTAACCGTAACATGTCTCACTCGTCCACGGTTTGGGAAACAAGCAGCGCGGAAAGTGCTTTTAACGGTAAATAAGACGCTAAATACGGTAGATATGCTAAACACGCGAGTACGTCGAGTTTAACGTGACGTAGCATCCATTCACGGCGCGGACTCCCTTCCATGAACTCATCAGACACCGATGATTTGTGAATTTGGGGGGACCCCGGGCGGATGATCTGGACAGAGTCCCCTCCCGGACGGAGCTAACAGCCGTTTTACACGATGATGACCTTTGGAGCGAGAGCGGTCCTCCTCAGCGTGAGGTGCGCCATCCACAGATCAGGCTCCTTCGCCAGAACCGGACTCGTGCGCAGCAGCAGGGCGTGCTTTGTTAAGAGGGGGCGGAGTCTAACCCAGATCCCCAAGGTCGCGTTGCTATGTTGGGGCGCAGCCAATGCGTCATCGCGTGCAGCCACATGCCAGGAAGCAACTGTGCGCAAAGCCGTTGATAAAAAGTCTCTGGCCAAAGTCCAAGTGCACAAAGTGGTCTTTTTCCTGCGCCTCAGCCTGCGCGCGTTGGTGCTGCTCCTCAAGTTCGCCCCCCTGCTCCTCTTGTCCCCCTTCACCCTGGTGTCCGCTCGCTGGGCGTCCGTCTGGCTGGATGCTCTCCTGTGGGTGACCGAGACTTCCGGTCCTACCTTCATCAAGCTGGGTCAGTGGGCCAGCACCAGGAGGGACATCTTCTCCCGGGAGTTCTGCGAGCGCTTCTCCGCGCTTCACGTGAAGGTGCGCCCGCACTCCTGGGCCCACACCAAGCAGTGTCTCCGCCGGGCCTTCGGGGACGGCTGGAGGAGGGTTTTGATGTTTGACAGCAAAGAGCCAGTGGGTTCGGGGTGCGTGGCGCAGGTGTACAGAGGCTGGGCCAAGGCAGACCAAGTGGAGGACGTGGCCTTCCAGTCTGTGGTGGAGGAGATGGAGAGAGAAGACCTGCTGGAAGCCTGGGAGATCCCAGGTCTGGGAGGAGTGGCCCGTTCACTGTGGCAGCTCTGGAGGGGCAGCAAGGAGGAGGAGGACTTTGGGGAGAAGAGTCACTCAGAAGGGATCTGCAGTGCGGAGAAGGAACATCTGATACCTGTGGCCATCAAGGTGGGTGTCACTAAATAGTGCCTGGTTGATATACTGAATCCCGCCCTGGTCAAGCTTGTTCATGAATGGTTCCCCGGGGTCTTGCAGGTGGTCCATCCAGGCATCCGGAGGCAGGTGGAAATCGACATACTGCTGATGAAGGCGGGCAGCTGGCTCCTGCAATGCCTGCCTGGACTCAAGTGGCTCAGTCTGTGTGAGATAGTAGACGAGTTTGAGAAGCTCATGATCAAACAGGTGGGAATATCCACCCCACAATATGTGCAATAGGATTTACATTATGATTGGTCGTCAATAAAAGGCACTAGAGGTTCAAGTTTAACAAAAGAGGGGCCTGCATGGAAAGAAATTCAAATGTAACTTTTATTTCAGATTGATCTCCGTTTTGAGGCCAAGAACATTGAGCGTTTCCAGGAAAACTTCCGCAACGTGGACTATGTGAAGTTCCCAACCACTTTACGACCTTTTGTCACCAGGTCCATTTTAGTGGAAACGTTTGAGGTGAGTACAGAAGATCTTTTCTTTTTTTTTTTTTTTATCTGTGGGAAAAAAGCGATAGATTGAGAGATTACAAGCAAGTCACACGTGTCACAACATCAAAGGTACAACTATCGTCATCTTCATCAAAGTCTACATGTAACCTTTTTCCTGCAGGAGAGTGTTCCTGTGTCCAACTACCTGAGCTCCGACATTCCCCCGGAGGTGAAGCAGAAAATAGCCCGGGTGGGAATGGAGACCATGCTGAAGATGGTGAGATGCGTCGCATGCATCCGATCGCTTGTTGCTATTGCTCTTTGTCTCATTACGTTATACAAGAGCACATCGATGTGTGCGTCTGCTCGCCAGGTTTTTATAGACAACTTTGTCCACGGAGACCTCCACCCCGGGAACATTCTGGTCCACTGTTCCAGTGAGGGCGCCGGCGTACCGGGGGACGCCCATGGAAAGACCACCCTCACTGACTTGTGGGACACGGTGGTGGTCAGCTTCAGGCCAGACAGGTGTCCCCTCCAGTTGGTGCTGTTGGACGCCGGCATCGTAACCCAGCTGAGCAACCACGACCTCGCTAACCTCAAGGCCGTCTTCACAGCGGTGGTGCTGCAGCAGGTCGGGGATCAAAATCTTGAGATGTTACGTCATTTTGAAGAACATATTTTGAAACCCGTTTGACGTGTTTCCGCATCGGATCCCAATCATTCTTTTAACGTGTTATAAATATAAATGTTGTAGGAATGTGAATTCTTGTTGAAAGATCGACTTGCTTTCTTCAGGGTGAGCGAGTGGCGGAGTTGCTCCTGAATCACGCGCGGGCCAATGAATGCCGCGACGTGCCGCGGTTCAAGAAGGAGATGTCCCAGCTGGTGGACGACGCCCTCAACAACACCCTCTCACTGGGAAAGGTTCACGCCTCACTTTGGATTATTATGTTAGAAAGAAAGTTCATTTTGCTCCACAGTAATTCTCTGTTAACGGTTAATGTAGCATTAACTAAGGCTAACTTATTGCTCATAGTTAAAGCTATAGTAGTAGTTAATAGATATGGGTTGGTCATGGTTGTTAGTGACAAATAACTGATCACTAGAAACCTTTTTGTTTTGTTTTTTCTTTTTCATTTATAGTTCCAAGTGGGTGAATTGCTCTCCAGAGTTTTTGGTCTACTCATCAAACACAAGGTACATTTTTCTCGCAGTGCTTTTGGGTTGTAGCTTAAAGAAATGTAGTATTTAATCACAACGTTTATCATGTTGCTGTTAAAGTTCTAACCGAGCAGCAGACCTGAAAGGTGAACGAAGACAGTTAGTGCAAGAAAATTGAACCACTGTGTTGTCCTGTTGTCTTACTGTCTGATGTTATTTTGGCAATAAATTTTCCTGATTCCTGAACAACAAAATGGGATCATGGGAATTCATGGATGTATTTTGGAACGTTATTTAACGGGGTTGAACTGAATAATCATTGTCATTGAGTGAATAAGAGTTTGTTTTTTTCCAGGTGAAGCTGGAGAGTAATTTCGCCTCCATCGTGTTCGCCATCATGGTGCTGGAGGGTCTCGGCAGGTCGCTGGATCCCAACCTGGACATCTTGGATTTGGTCAAACCCCTGTTGCTAAAGAAGAGCGCTTCACTGCTCTGAAACACGCAGAGAGCTTAAGCTCAGTGAACACACACACCCGACTCGAGTGACGCCGAGATCGAAAGGTGGCAGGTTCCTTTTTCAGAACGGCATGTTGCGTCATGGATATGCTCAATGGACCTCATCCATATGCAATTTCCTTTAGTTTGATTCAAAGCCTCACCATTTCCACCAGCATGAATGTGATTCATAGCAGTGTATTTTCTTACGTTTTCTCACATGGCTCGAAAATTGTAAAGGATACTGGTTTACATGGGATTGGCATATGGATAAGGAGGCAGCTGCATGCCGCTACGTGCCGTTCTGAAAAAGGAACCTGCCGCCTTTTTGATCCGGGGCGCTACTGCAGGTACACAGATACTAAATCTATAGTGTTTACACGCTTTTCCTGCTGGGATGATGGATTGTTGTCAAGGGTACGAGATACAGTGGACCCCCGTCTTACTGTATTTTAGCAGTGACCTTCTTCACTGCTTCCTTTGAGTGTTTTTATGGTTTAATATTTTAACCGCAGGAAAGTCTTCCAGCCATTTCTAACGCAGGCGAAGGAACGAGGAAACGTGCGCTCGTTTGAGTGCTGGTGGACACATGAGCAGCATTTAGGGGAATTGTAACTATTGAAGGTAAAAGAAAATACGTTTGTTTTACTTTAAAATTTTAATTGATCTCAGGATGTCTTTTATCCCCCTCGTGTTCTAGTGGGTCTTAAAGTCTATTAAGCCATATATTTATTTAGTGTGAATCAATGTGCTGTAACATTGACCATGTGAAGTTTTTGGCTACTTACAACTGACCAGTTTTTGACTTTCCATTAAAATAGTGGAAACACACTACATATTTTTTAAAAGCGAGTCTGTCAATTATTTCTTTTGATGCCTTCAGTGACCAGTTGTGAAACAGGTTGATTGTTGCTGCTTCAAGGTAGAAAATTCACAACAAGATCCATTTATTTACAATTTTATTAAATCTGTCAATGAAAAACACAGACAAGATATGCGATTCTGTATCTGTCATCAGGAAGAACAGTCAGCATGGCTGAAAGAGTGAGATCAAGAGGCTCGGGTGCAAAAAAAAAAAACCCATCACGTACCCTTTATTGCAAAACTGTAGATATATATTTTTTATCGCCATCAAGAACCCAGACAGAGCAGCACTGTTCAAGTAAGGAGGGAGGGGAGAGGTGTCAGCTGTGTAAAAAAACTAATCTTTCAATAATAATGACAACAAAAGAAATAAAAACTTTAAAAGTCAAACACAATCACCTCAGTATAAGACAAGATTCTGCCACGGTCACAACAACCAGAGAAAAGTTGTTTTCTTTTTTTTAATGAATTAAATACTTTTGAAAAATATCTCACCATTTACTTATAGTTATCTTTTTTCATTTATTGCGAAAAATAGGCAACTGGACTAATTGTGATGATGCACGGCTTTGTGTGTCATTGTGTGTGTGTGTCTGTGTGTGTGAGACAGAAACAGATTAAGTGGAGAGAACTAGTGGCACTGAGAGCGGCAGCAGTGTGTGCAGTACTCTCACTCGGCCACCGGGTGGCACAGTTCAGTCTGAACATCCCTCCAGGGGAGCTATGGCCGCCCCCCCCTCACATCTGTATCACAGGAACATACGGCAACAACATCCTCTGGGGGGGATTTCTTTTTCTTTTTTTGGAATGATGCTTGTATGTTGAACCTTTGTGTACGGTCGCTTTTCTGATTCACAAGATCTCAGTGTTATGTACAAAGGTTTCAAATCCCTGAAGGGCATCAACAAAGACAAGTGCAGCCTCCATGTGACCAACCCCCCTTCCTGGAGTAGCTCAGGAGTCAAAGGGAGGGGGAGGGAGGGGGGGGGGAATAGTACCAATCAGATCAGGTAAACGTGCCACAAGAAACTCGATGGAATTGTTCTCCGGAATAAAAGTCAGGATTTAGGAATGTCAACGGTGGTTTTTAAATGGCCTTCCTCAGGGGGGGGGGGGCACCGAAATATCTACACAGTTCCAACAGAATGTCCTATTGAGCAGATGAAATAAGGAAAAGACTCAGCGGGACAGAAGAGATAACAACCATTGTCCATCCGTCTCATCATGCACTTTTCTCCCGCCTGGTGAAATGAATGTATTTTTAAGGGTTTTTTTTGCTCATCCTGCACTTTTTTCTGTCGGTCTTTGTCGGTGTGGTGCTCCCTGGAGGACTGGCTGCCCTCCAGTTCACCAAGGAAGGAGGGGGGTGGCCCAGACGTGAGGAGGGGCTTTTTTTGGGGGGGGGGGGGGGGGGGGCATTTGTGGACAAAATCAGGGTGTAAACTTTTAGACTGATGTAAGTGCTCTCTTCCCACAACACAGTGAGGGAGGCGAGGGGGGGCAGCCGGGCTGCAGAGAGGAGAAGCATCTACGGAGGCAGATCTCGAGCGCTCGTTGTCTCTCTACAAAAAGCCCAGTAGGGTTCTGTCTTTGAGGCCCTGGCTGTGTAAAGGTCACGGCAGATAGAGCTCTTCGTAGGCTTTTCCTTCGCGTCGTTTAAAAGATCAGCAGATGTCAAATTAAAGGGCCGGTTGACACGTCGACGGCAGCGGAAAAGCTCGTCTCTCAGTAAGAGCAGCATCCATCTTGAAATGTTCTTCATTTATTCATTATTCTTGGGAGATGACACAGCTACCCGTGTTCCGCGTGTAATGGACGCGAGGGATTGGGCCAGGAAAGAAAACGTCTCAATCAACTCCGACTGTGTCTCCAGCTTCTCCGCGGGCTGCCCTCCACCAGGGGCTGATGGTTGGGCTAACTGTCGGGGGGACACCGGGAGGAGGGCCTTCTGATTGTGGCTACGAGTTGAGCCACGGGTGGTTGAGGCATTCGCCCGCCGAGGCCCTCTTCTCGGGCACCATCTCCAGCATGGGCAGCAGGAAGTGCGTGAAGTTGCTGGCGTCTTCCTGCGCCCAGCCGTACTTCTCCACCAGCACGTCGAACAGCGACCACGGCTTCAGCTTGGTGATGTGCCGGAGCTCACCTGCAGGGGGTGGGGGGGGGGGGGGGGTTACGGGTTAGAGTCAATGATTGCAGCAGAATGCAGGAAGAAAAGAGAGGGGCTTAGTTCAGAGGGTTGGTTCATACAAATTGGGAAAAACGCAATGAGACTGGTGATCTTTTTTTTGATCCAGCAAGTAGCCAGAGCCGGATTATGCTTATTCCTTTTTTCTATGCAGCTCTGCTGTTGAACTGGCTGACGTGTGCTTTCATTATGATGAACACAGGCTGTGGCTGTTTACGTGTCAATTCCACATTTGCTGTGTGATGCTGTAGAAATATAACAACGATTAACGCCGGTTTCATTTGGACTCTCCTGAATGCAGCATGCATTTAGAGGCTCACTGAGAAAAATATTGAATAACAAGGCGTCTCATTTAACTCATCACAGCCATGCAGACGGTTTTAATCCATCTCTAACATGTCTGCGTTCACTCCGTTCAAATGTTTTTTTTTATCTATTTTTTTTTACCAATTGTGAAAACATGATTTGGTTTAAGTAATCTCGATACTTTTTTTTAATCTCGAACTCTTAAACTAATGGAACCAAGACCACGTTTTTAAAAGGAAATATTTTGCTGTTGAATTTAGAACTTTCTTTGTTAATGCACACAGACAAAACATCTTCCATGGCTCCATTACCAAAAGAGGTAAGTGGACTTTGATTTGCTTATTTGGGTGGATGAACTCTTTAATCTGAGGCCGTCGCCGTCTCCGGCCAAACCGCACCTCCGTGTGTCAATGCTTAGTTCCGCCTCCCGCTTTCAACGCGTGCTACTCAGTGAGGAGCTGCAACGACGGAGGGAAAAGTTCTTGGCAGCAAACGGTGAGAACAGAGGGCGAGAGGTGGAAGCGCGAGGCGGAGAAGTGGCGACGTCATGGAAACAGACGAGCAGAGGAAGGTGTTTATCACTAAAGAGCGCAGGGACGTGATTGGCTGAGGGCCAAAGACTGACGGAGAGGAGACAAAAGTACAAGAGGAAGATTAATGATGTGAGGCCGTCCAGGTCAAACCATGGCTGCCATGGCAACCTCTCTTCCCTGTACACTGATTGGAGAACTGGGGGAAAAGGAAACCATCCTGACTTGCCTCAGGTTGTTTTTGCATGAATGCTTGTCAGAAACTAGTCCATGTTTATCAATCATTTTGTCTCCAATCAATTTGTCTACTTTCTACACCGCAGTTGAAAACAGAAAGGCTGGATCAACAGAGCGCCGTGGGATAAAAGGGAGAACATCGAGACATCAAGTGCAGGCTCAGACCTCCGATAGAGACGACAACATCAAAAGGCAGAAGATTCAGGTCTCAAGGTACATTGGGAAGAACATACGAGCAGAAAGGGAAGCAGATTAATAGAGACATTTTAAGAGAGCTGCACCAACACAGATCCAAACACTTACCGGGATCAAAGAGGAGCAGCAGCAGGAGGAGCAGACCGGAGATGCAGGGAGCGACAGACTTTACTACCAGAAATATTTCTAATATTACCCTATGAGATTTGAATGCAGTAGACTGCGCCTTTGATCATAACGTGTGTAGTCATTAATTACTTCAAGGTTGATTTGTTCGTTTTCACAAAATTCAACTGCCAATATGAAATCAAAATGGATCACTTGGTATTTTTTGGTAATAGGATTCCTGAATATTTAGAAAAATAACCATCCTGCTGCATTCCAGCGTCACCAATGAAAATCAATAAACTACAGTTGATTACCGTCCATCGCTACAACTAAGCATTCATGTTTGCCGTGATGTTGATGTGTATCTTAAACTATCTGTAGTGCTTTTGTTCCTAATACTGTATTAGTGCTACAAACTACTTATCCCACACTGCACCTCACCAGCGGGGTTTGTTTACCTTTCTTGGAGAAAAAGTCTCGGCTGTACTTCCCGGCAGCAAAGACTTTGCGCGGGACCTTTCCGAGGAGCTCCGTGATCAGAGCGATGTGGTCTGCCCACCACCACATACGTCACAGAGGGAACAGGCACGGTTCATTACAGCATGCACACACACACACGTCAACACGACTGGCTGCATGGGACTGACACACACTGCTGCCTTGGAGCCCCACATGGACACGCTGCTACTTCTACACCCTGAAGTGGTGACAATTTCATTGGATCGTTCTCCCTCTTTGCAGTCACAATCTCTATCAATGCATCCGATTATTTCCCACGTCAAATCCAAAGCAACATGGACGCCCAAGTTCATTAAGTAACCCCGACCTAGTGTCCATGTCTGTCCATTTCAGACATCTGTGTGTCCCAGTCCCACCAGCTCTGGCCAGCGCTACCTCTTCGGTTGAAGAACTCCCGGGAATATTTTCCGGAGAGCGCAAAGTGCCTCGGAATACAGCCCAGCAGCTCTATGATGTGGGCTATATGGTCTATGGAGGAGAGAGGGGGGAGGGAGGGAGGGAGGAAGAGGAATGAGGGGGGGAAAAAGAGGGCGATGCGACAGAGAGACAGGGTTTTAAATGAAAGAGAGGGAGAGATGAAAGTCAAACGTAAAAGGATTTTTTGTGGGTAGGAAAATAAAAACAGGAAGAGGAAGTGACAGGTAGAAGAGATCACAGAAGGGTCGGGGAGGAATATAAAGAGACAGTCACCGACAGTAGAGAAGAGAAACCCGTGTTAGTGAGCTGTGCCTCCACAGAAGAGGTGACGACATTCAGTGGAAATAAAATTGCATGCATACACAATCAGAATTGACTCGACCGGAAGCCGACGATAGATCTTAAATTTGGCCTCGATGGTCAGAGTTCAAAAGGTGTAAATCAGCATGTCATGATAAAACTGGCACTGGCTCACTGGCTGTGCACAACATGCTGAATGAGGTTAACTGTGTGTCACATGCAATGAGAGAAATAAGACGATCACAGAGATGAAGACACCGAGGTGAGGATGACGTTGCAATTAAAGCAGCAGTGGGGCTTGATTAGTAACATGTGAGCTGATATACTCACAGGACATAGAGTAGGTGGCCGATGATGCGCTCATGCTTTAGTTACTAAGTGGTGCACGTGTCTAGCCATAAAGCACGATGCCGGGAGTTGTGTGAGCAGGGTGAAGATGAGCGGCAGCATAGCAGCAGAATGAGAGGACAGGGTTCACAGCTGACAGTGGATGGGGGGTTTTGGGAGGAGGGGTGGCTATAGTTTAAACTTGGCTCACTGTGGCCATCTCTTCTATCACTTTACAATACAACGGTTATTGATTTATCAGTTGTCAAAACAATAGCCCCTCTTTAATATCGATGGCATGCTCACGAAACATACTTTCTCCTACAATACGATCAACATTGTTTGTTTTTGTATGATAATTATAAAACCTTGGTGATTAAAAACATTTTCCTTCACATAAAGATGTAAATACTCACCCTCATCACGGGAGTAGTCCTCTCCAGAGTGGGGCTCAAACAAGTAATCTCCAGTAGCGAGCTCAAAAGTCTGCAGGGGACCAAATACAGCACCCTGCCCTCAGAGTTCACATGTATGTGTGTATGATTTAAAGTGTAAACTGTGTGCGTGTGTTGTACTGTTATGTTTGTGTCCTCACCATACAGGCAGTACTCCAGATGTCTGCAGGGGTGCTGTAACCAGCTCCTATCAGGACTTCAATGGAACGGTACTGTCTCGTCTGGATGTCCTCTGTAAAGTGCTTGTGCTGTATCCATGTGAGGAGAGGAGAGGCGGAGAGCATAAGAGATGAATGAATTATTGCACCCTAGTGTCTCATTAACCAATGGCATCCACTTTATTACTTAAATGTATCAGAATTAAACTTAAATAAAATAAATGATGTCACCACTCAGCCATTTATAGCCCTCATTTATTCTACTCTAGAACTGTAGTCGGTTGTAATGTTTATGACCATTTCCCACAAGTGACTGAAAGCGAAAACATTACTGTCGCAAGTAATTACATTACAAGTCATGTCAAACGTCAATCCCAAATACTGTCTCTCACCACCCAGCAGGCATTCCCAAGATCAGCGATCTTAACCCGAATAGACTCGGCGTTTCGCGGGTCGAGTGGGTTTATCAGCAGATCTGCTGCTCTGGCCCTGACTGGAAGGGGAGGAAGTGGGAAAGAACCGGGTCAAAACACACTGTAACTGCTGATGATCTGTTTAATGTGCTGTTTCACTGGCTGTTTTCTGGTTACGTTTGGGTTTAAAATCCTTGTTAACTTCCAAAGAGGTGGAAAGTTAATAAAAATAACCACTCTGGGGGGATGAGTAATGGTGTTGGTGGGTCATTAATAAAACCATATACTGTATGTGTGAATACATTCAACATTAGATAAAAGTGTAACGAGAAAAATGGTATTAAAAAACTGACTTTGGATAAAGAAAGAATAACTATGGAGTCAGTAGAGTGCTGCAGGTTCTGATGGTTAGAAGTATGTGGATAACACACTATTTGAACATATTGTTCAATGATATAAGATGACCGTTATGGTTGACCCTTGACATAGAAGAACGTACACAGTCATACCTTTGGGTGTGTCTCCCGTGCTCGAGGAGGACACGGTGCGACTGCGGTCAACGGTGGGGCTGTTGGGGGACGGGCCCGCTCCGATGTCTGCTGCTCCGACAGGAACGGGGTTTCCCGGCAAAGGATCCAGGGGCAATTCGGGAAAGAGAGGAAGGACGGCCCTGTGGCGCTCGCTTCCGCCGTTGGTCAGCCCCGGCTCGCCCAGGTCGCCGTTGTACATCTCATAGCCGGAGCTGAGAGAGTGGTCCCGGTCCGTGTAGCTGAGCTCGGACTCCACCAGGGGGCAGAGGAGAGTCTCGGGGTTGGGCGAGGGAGGCGCAGGGTTGCCGGGGTTCGCTTTCAGTCCTTCGGAACACGTAAAAATGTGCCCGTTGGGTTTTGGCCGAATTGCTTCTGTTGTTCTGGGGTTTGACCAGGGAGGTGGTGTCCGTGAGGAGTTCCGTGGTGGTGTCGTCGTCATCATCGTCTTCATCATCCTCATCATCCTCGTCCTCCCCTTCCTGCTCCTTTGACTCCTTTTCCTCTGCTGCCTCCTGTGCCTCCTCTTTTTTGCTCTCACTCTTTGGCTCCTCTTTCTTATTGTCCTCTTTTTCAGTGTTGGTCTCCTTCTTGTCCTCCCCTTCCTCCTCCCCTTCCCCCTCATCCTCCTCCTCCTCCTCCTCCTCCCCCTCCTCATCCTCCACCTTCTCTTCCTCCTCTACCTTCTCCCCTGCCTCTTCTTCATTCTCATCTTCTACACCTTTTAATTCCTCCTCCTCCTCTTTCTCCTCCTCCTCCTCCTCCTCCTCCTCCCCTTCTTTGTCCTCTACCTTTGCTTGTGGTGGATCTACATGTCCTTCCTCTGTGGTGGGAGGACTGGGGCAATCTTTTTCAGTGGTAGGCGTGGGCATCTCCTCCTCCTCCTCCTCCTCTTCCTCTTCTTCTTCTTCCTCCTCCTCGTCCTCTTCCTCCTCCTCCTCATCGGGGTCGTCATCTGAGATATTTGGCGCCTTGTTCTGCTCCTGGGGAGGCGCCGCGCCTAACGTGGAGAGAGAGGAAGAGAATTGGAGAATTAAGAGGAGAAGCGAGTGGGAAGATATCAGAGATATAAACGCAATCAAAGGCAGCGAGTAAAAAAAGCACGAAGAGAGATTGAAGAGAAGGAGGCAAACGAGAGAAAAGGAGAATGACAGAAACAGATGGCGAAGACACAGAAGGTGGAGGAGGGAGACGGAGAAAGACAGTTTTTCTTTTCTTGTGAATCAGCCTCACATACTGTGGGACCAGCGTGGGCCGAGCGTTTGGAGCCCCCCCCCCGTTCATTCACAGGCTGCACAAACTGACTGTGCGCGCACACACACACACACACACACACACACACACACACACACACACACACACACACACACACACACACACACACACACTCTAACAGTCTTAGTTGTTGGCCAGCTAAAGACAGCACGCAGAAAAACCTAAACACAATGCCCATTGAATTCCACTGTTGGACCATATCACAAATGCTTTAGATCAGGGGTCTTTTACGTTTTTCAGGTCAAGGTCCCCCAAACTGATGGCGAGATGGAGCAGGGACCCCCTATTCTACGGAGTTTGGTCCGCCATCTTTTCCTTTTGAGCTCCGTCCTCTTTAGACGTGAGCATGTGTGGATCTGATTGGCTGGTGCCTGTGATGTCGTATCAGCTTGAGAGAGCTGCTGGAGGACTGAAAGACAACGTCTCCTCCATCAAGTTATCCGTTCGCTACAATATGTTGGATTCATTTTATCAACCAAAGGTTTTGCGACCCCCCCTGCAGTAACTCCGCGGACCCCCTGTTGAAGACCTCTGCTTTAGTGTGTGCAAATTAAAAATAACAAGCTGTTGACTTTCATCTTAGATTGCTACAAGGATCAACGATCGGATTGAATGGAGATGAGCTTTTTGATAGCCAGTAAATCCATCTCAATGTATGTGACATTGTTGTGTTGACATGAAGAACTTCTCTGGAGGAGACACGTTGCATATTGAGCTAATTAACACATTTGCTTCCCAGGTCACCGTAAGTCATAAAACACACGTTAATCAGTTATCAGTTACTGCATTCATCACTATAGAGATTGACGGCATTTGTTCCTGGTATCAGATTTTGATAAAGTGACCATGTCTCTTGTCTCTAACATGGGAAAAGTTAATATGACTCACCTGTATGATTAGTCAACCTGACGGGCCTCTCCCTCTCCCTCTCCCCCCCCCTCTCTCTCTCTCCTCCCTCCTCCTCGTCCTCCTCCCCATCCTCGTCATCGTCGTCGTCCTCCTCCTCCTCGTCGCTCTCTCCCACAGCCATCTTGGGGCCCAGATGCGATGGCGGCGGCGGCGGTTGCAGGGGTGAGGACTGGTCGCTGACATTTTCCCCTTTCTCTCCCCCGTCTTTGGCTCTCTCCTCCTCCTTCTCCGCCTCCCTCTCCAGGGCTTCGATCTCCAGCATCCGCCTCTCCAGCAGCTCTGCCTGCCGCTTCTGTTTCTTCTTCAGCTTCTTCTTCTTGTTCTTGGAGATCTTGCCCACCTGGGACAAAGAAACACAGGAGAGGGAGGAGAGGCAAAGACATCAATCGAAACAAGCTCTTCAAGGATCCAAAAGGTATTTATTGGGAAGCTAGGTTGGGGTTTGTATCCAATGTTCGAAAAGCTTTCGACTACATTATTTAAAATGTAACATTTGTTATTCGACGATTTGATCACTATCCAACAAATAATCTCCAAATGTTTAAATGTATTCATTTTTTGGAGTGATTAACTTGAATAACAACAAAGAATGTGTTTTCTGAACTTGTCAATTATTTTTGTCCTGACTATTGAATTACAATATCGATCATTCAAGATGAAATGATGAGATGCATGATTTTCAAAAGAGAGGATGTCTTTATTAATGTTCTTCTTATTTGGAAATGCATTGAAAAAAAAACAGTGTTTTTAAAAGTCTCAAATAAAATGTATTGAAATTCGATTTATTTTAAAAGAAACGTATGGAGGGCAGTTGGAGTTTGGAAACTACAATCCAATCAAAAGAAAACTCAAAAAGACATTTTGCATACAAATATTGTGAAGCACTCAGTACCGTAAGTGTTGATAAATCAAGAAGAAATCACGTTAGATTTTGTGTGCTTGTGTTTATGTTTGTGTGTGTGTGCAATGCTCTCGTCTCATACTCACATCTGTCAAACTCACCGGTTTGAGCTGGGGGGCTGTGCTAACTGACAAACAAAGAGAACAACAACAATCAGAGGCTTCAAAGTTTCACCAACATCCATCGGTGACACAACAGAGTTCGTACCACCTTCAACATTCCACAACCGGCCAAAAGAAAACATTGTTACGTTCCCTTTATGGAGCACATGCATATGGAATCTGTAGGTGCGTCGAGAGAATCACAAAAAAAGGCTTATTCACTTGTCCTAGATCCAGAATACTAGTGTTTTATCCTTGTGCTGGACAACGTAGCACTATATAGTGCAGAATGTTCTCCCCTGATACCAATCCAAATCTGGATAATGCAATTTAAAGGACTTGCAGTATGGTGAAAATATATATCTAATATTGTAAATATATGCGGTTCTGAAGCCATTCCTGTACTCATTTTCAAATGAAACAATCAATATTTCACATTTCTCAACACGCAGGCAAAGTGGTGCAGAAGTTCATTTTTAGGATGAACTAATTAACTTAGTGGATCTTTTAGGAGATCTGCTGTGGGTAGAGTGCAATAATGCTACATACCTTCACTCATTTCTGACACACATCTCAAATGTAGAATGACACTAGCAGACATGACACGATGCTATAAAACATGTCTGCACTTATCAGATAAAAAATTTGATTAGATCCATTTTGCCTCTTCCATCAACATCTGCTTTGTCTCACTTTGTTTGTGTAGAAACCTAAGCAGTGGTACCCTACGGCTCAAAGAGACTCCGTCCGCTGATGCAAGCAATCGACAGCTCAAGTCGGGGTTCACTGAGGGGACGGGGTTCATGTCGAGTTTGCAGAGAATGTTTTGTTATAAACGGTTTTCTTTTTTTGGTGGAGTGGGATGAAAAGCAAGAATCTGAGAAGCACAAAAGGGTTTTTTTCACTTCACTCATATTAAGCATGGACGGGTTCTCATTTATACATCACACAAAAATGCATAGCAGCATTTTAGTTTAATTTACATGAATATAATTTTGAATCAACTCCAGCTATTGACCTCCCACATGTGCTGTAACTTTAAGCCTCCTATTCCAGGCAGCATTCTCTTCCCCATCGGGAAAAATAATGAAAATGAAGAAGGTGGGCGTCTTACCTGCTGATCCGGACGGCGGGGGGGCTCCAGCTTTCTGCCATTCGGTCGCCTCCATGGCCATACGCCTAACAAAGGCGTCGTCGACACACATCAGGATGTTCTCTGGCTTGATGTCCGTGTGGATGATCTTACATTTAGTGTGGAGGTAGTCCAGACCCTGCAGGACCTACAAACACATTCAGATGAACACGTGCTCACACTTTGTGCGTTTGTACGCTCCTTCTTCATCTCCCTCCCTTTGATTCATTCTCATTCTCCAAGGACAGAGAAGAGAGGCTCTGGGTGTGTTTGTTCCACTGTTTCTCTCCTTCGTTTCTGTCCAGAGGCTTTTGAGATTGAATTGGGGAACTGTCTCATTTCATTTCTACTCATCTTCGGCTGGCTTCTTGGCAGCGGCTGAAACGGCTCGGCAGCTTCCCTCGCTCATCAGGTGGCTGACGGGGGAATGCCTGACAGCACTGCGTCTTCAGATGGCAGTGGTACTGAAGTGTGAAGCGCACGGCAGCGTGCACAGTATTATTATTATTATTAGGCCTAAGAATTGGGTTAGAACTCAGCTTTCTCAGTCAGTCCTCTTCATTCATTTTATTTATTCGTTTCTTTCATCTCAAGCCAATCTTTTACAGTCTGTGCATAAGACGTGTTCCTCTCCCCAATCAATGTAATATCTCTGCAGTTGTCAGATATATTATATATGAGAACTGTATAAATAAACAGATATATTTTCTATAAATAGATCTGGTTTGTGTGTGTGTGTGTGTGTGTGTGTTTTCATACCTGTTTGATAATACTCTTGACACATGCCAGAGGCAGACCTTGGTAGTTGGATTTGATAATCCACTTCAGCAGGTGGTGACCGAGCACTTCAAACACCATACACACATCTGGTACGGAGAGTCAAGGACTCACATTCTGAGTCAATCACACAACCCCCCCCCCCACACACACACACACGTACATACACACACTCCTCTCATGGGATACGTATGCCGTTGACTCCGGAGATCTTGAAATCATCGATCAGCTGAACCACCATGTCCTTGTTGGGGTCGGCGGGGTCGCTCTCCCTCACCTAAAGCACAGGAGGACAGAAAGATGAAGCTAATGTGACTGGAGAGCAAAGTAGGATCAAGACAGAATGAAAAAAGGAAGAAAGAAAAAAAAGAAAAGAGAAGGACACCAAAACACGAAAGGAAAAAAGAAAGAGCAGATGGGATAAAGATGCTGAAAGATTGAGTCTAAGATGACTGTCCTCTGCACCACCATGCAAGATAGATGACAAGTGTATTTCTAGTGAGTGTCTCTTCTTGTTAACAGAGGAACAAGGAAGGCGAGATGCAAGGTTTGGAGAGGAAGGAAAGAGGATGATGAGAAAAAGTCAGAAAGAAGGAAAACTCAAAACTCAAAAGGAATTAAAATAATAAGATTCCCAAAACCCTTTAAACTAATCCAATCCTCACACATCGCAGCAGTTTTATCTCATCCAGGGCCGTCTCTGTGTAGTGCTGCGCGCTCTTCACCACCTTCATCGCCACAAAGTTCTTCGCTCTGTAATGACAAGCGCGGATACATAGTCATTTTCCAATAGGGGGGGTTACAGACAGTTATGCTCATAAATGTGCACGTCGGTATCTATGACAGATTTAACTAAACGTCAATATGAAAAACATTTTGTCAGTTATTGTTCCCACTGAAATGTGAAATGAAATGTGCCAATAAGGTATTTCACGGAGCAGGTAGTGCACCGCCACAGCTGCCTCGTGTGGCTGAGAAGGATGCGATGAGGTGGGGGAGGTCGAGCCTAAGCAGTAAACTTGTAAATGATGCATGCCAGGCAGTTGGAGAGAAAACAACCTGAGTCTTAACATTGGAATTGGGAACATGACCTCTCTCGGGGATTGTCACTGAAAAGTGTGCGATAAGTAACCCGACTCCACCTCACTGGTTTATGGCCACCATCAGAGTAATTAAAACCAGTGACATGAGTAAATTAGTGTGTGTGTGTGGGTGTGTGTCATGGAAAGTTGACACTGGGTTGGTGAAACCTTCATCCAGACACCCTGGTTGCCACATCAACAACATCAACAACATTATAGTGCAAATGAATGGCAGCGCAAATTGATGTTGGTTCCAACCGTTGTCGCGGTAACGGGCCAGCTAAGGTCAAGAGGTGTACGTGCGTGTGGCTTACGTAAGCAGTGTGCATGTGTGAGAAAGACAGGAAGGTGAAGTGAAGGACAACAAGAAGAGCCTCTGTGTGTGTGTGTGTGTGTGTGTGTGTGTGTGTGTGTGTGTGTGTGTGTGTGTGTGTGTGTGTGTGTGTGTGTGTGTGTGAGACTTACTGTATGTCCCAGCACAGCCATACGGTGGAGAAGTGGCCCCACCCCAACTTCCTGATCACATGGTACCTCCCGTTGAACAAATCCCCGATCTTCACCGGATGGTACCCTCCTGGGAGGGATAAAGAGGGAGAGGATGAAGGTTACAGGTTACTGCTGGTGATAAATAATGACATGAAATCCATCAGAGAGTCAGAAGTGGAGCAACAGCAGCAGAGAGGAAGCGACGTCCAACAAGGCTGAAAATGAGCCGGGGGGAGAAGCGGGGTGGATTAATTAATTAAAAGAAAAGGGAGAATTGGGTGAAAATGAAAAGCACAAACATGTCTGGTGATATGTAGCTCGACCATAAAAAAAATACCCCAAAAGATCCTTAAACATCCCATTTTATCTATTCTTTTGGGTTTGACTGACCATAAGAATAAACATATGAAGATTCTGGGAACACTCTTCTTTTTCAAAATAAAAAAAGACTTGCTAGTTGCAGACATAGTGGACCTTTTGCAGTAAACATTGAGCAAATATGCATTGTCCTCATTAGACATAAATAATACAGCGCCGCACATTTGTAGCAGGTCAGACCCTCCAGGAATTTAAGCCCCCGCCCCAGGTAAGAATGAAATGCAACTTTTAGACGCTGCATTTTTCTGGTATGTCACACACATGAACATAGAATGTTGATAAGGTGAAGGCCACGCAGTGTAGCTTTTCTTCATCTATTAGGCATCCGTTTCAACCAAACTTTAACAAATCAATAATAGTTTGAAACCAGAAATCCTCGATTTTATCCGTGCGATCTATTGAGAGTAAGACAATGAAAGTACATCTGTGTATGTGCAACAGTGAATTTGGTTCAGTACTTAATCAAAATAATTTGGTAATTCCCACTTTATTATACAAACTAGAAAATGTTGCTTTTCAGAAGAAACTGGGATTATGATGTTAATGTTAATGTCAACCATTCAATGTGTTGCTTGTGTACAAAAGACACAGTAAATGATTCAGCAACAACAAAAAATCCAGTAATTGTTCGTAATGCTTCAACCTGGAGTTGCATCTCACTGAGACATGAACATCCTCTTTGTTGTTGCTGCGATGACACTACCAGCTGGCAGAGACAGAAGTCTCGCTTGCCAGGGTTGTATTTGTTGTAGGTGTATTTTATTGAACACAAACTTGGTCAATTGAGTAATTTTCAAGTTAAAAAAAAGGCACGAACACAATAAAGTCAGCTGCTGCTGCTACAGCTCCAAACTGAATATATTATATATTCTCTTACTTCATCTTTTCTTAATGTTTTGAAAATGTCAAAAAATGGTCATGAGCCAACACATTAGGGGCTTTTTTAAGAAGATGCAATCACACAGCAGTTCACACAATACTCTGGTTATTAATAGTAGTAGTCATTTGAATCACCTCTGGAATATGCATTGAGCGTGTCGTACATCCTTTTAGGTTGTTCATTCAATTCACATCGATTTCACTCCGTCCCCAAGGTTTCCTCCTTTATTCTCCTCATTCTAGGTTCTTTTTTGCCCGCTGTGTGTGGGGGGGGGGTCCTGTCCCGATGTGAGGGTTTCGGGACACAGGATGTCGCATGTGTACGGATTGTAAAGACCTCTGAGGTTATGGAAAATGAGCGACTGTGATTGGTTTGACGGTCTCTGACCTTTGCAGTAGTCCGTGGGGTCCTCCTGCTCCTCATCGTCGGAGCCCAGGATCTCCTCCTCCGGCTCCGGGGGCCCCGCCGGCTCGGGGGGAGGCGGAGGGGGCGGCGGGGGAGGAGGGGCACTCGCCGGGGCTTTCTGCTGGGTCTCAGGCCTGCGAACACAACGGCGGGATGAAGGTTAGCGTGTCTGGTCGCTCTTTTACAGGAAACACACCTCCAGGCTCGGACCCGCTGACTCCATGAGCTGTGAGTGCGATTACTTTTATCTAAATAAGACATTGTTGCTCTACTGGCATCGTTCGTTGGTGATTCATCTGCCGCGTCAGTTCATAGGGAGAAAGAAAGAGGCACAGGAAGTGACGTTTTGAATGGCCGTGTTTGGAATGAATACAAGAAGAAAAGAAAAACAGAACTACATGACCGTCAATAGTCGGTGTTGATGAATGAAATAAAGAATGGAGGCGGCAGCTACAAAAAGTCAGATTCCAAGAAGACAAAGGACATCACAACAACTGGAAGCTGTTTTCACTCCAATTCAGTAAAATTATCAATAGTGAACAATATACAAAATACAACAAGTTCAAAACCCAAATAAAACCCATCTAAACTGGGATTTATTTAAGCATTTTCTACAAGTTCAAGGCCGGAACAGGTTTTTACAAACATTTATTTGTTTTAAGGTGGTGCACAGTTTTTGTGTAAATGTGTGTATATAACAAGTCCCTGTCTCACAGGTGCGGTGCTGAATGAACTTGTTGCTTCTACAATCACTTCTGTCAGTGAAACCCACACATGTTGCACACATTTCCTGCATTCGCTGAAGTAAACCGTGACACTGACAAAAGAGCACAACACAGGAGGTCTCCACAGATAGTGTGATGTCATGGGTGGGTTGGTAATCAACGGAAGGTGCATCCCCTCCCGGTGGTTGCAGCAACGCATCAGGGTGGAGGAAAACTACAATTCCCATAGTCAGCAAGGCAGCCGGGCCAAAGGCTGCTGCCCAGCTGAGAAGGATGGATGATTGCCCTGAGAAGAGCAGAAAAGGAGAAGAGTCGAGAGACGAAAGGGAAGTGTTGCCGAGGAGGAAGGAGAATTAAAACAGAAGAGACTCATGTTGATTTATGTAGCAACGTCTTTTTGGTGGATTTAAGTTGACCTTTTTTGATGAATGCAAGACTAAGTTTCTGAATCATTGGTTGTCGTCTTTATTCTGTGCACACACGCCTAACCTCATGATCCCAACCTCTTGAGACATAACAATATATATATATACAGTATATAAGACTTGCTCAGCCGTGGTTGATCTGCTAGGTCAGTCCTCTCCGTTACCAGCCTTGTTCCACTTCCCTTTCCTGGTCTAAAATGGAACTGAGCCCATGAGAGAGAAAACTTGAAATAGGCTGACTCTTTCTCCGAGCCCGGGTACTTTGTGGCCATTTATCCAGGTTGAGGCACAATGATTGATCAGGCAGGGGACTCAGGAAGCCGCCATAGAGGAACAGGCCTGTGAGCGTAACTGTTGGGTCAACCTGACCAAACCCGCTCTTCCAGGACACTGCAAAGCACAACGCTAGGTCACGTAACCTGGTAGTCCTACACAATTCCACGCATGTAATCCAGTTTTGTCTAATTAGCTCACTCTTTATTACTGTTTGTCCTTCAGAGCAGTGATACACAACGTGAAGGACGGGACACCCCAAAGGGTCACAAGCCCAATCGGAGTAGTTGATTCCCTCATCATGACCCAAATGAAATCTTAAGAAACCTTAAGAAAACTTGATGTTTCAAAGACTTAATTAAGAAAAAGAAGCTAGAAAAGCTCTCCCCTTTCAGCATCACCTCAGGATGCCGACAACAAGACCAAGAGCTAAATCAAGGAGGTAAAAAAATATAAACACACACGCTGGACACGCTGTCCACACGGCTTGTCACAGGCTCAGACACATGATGGAGCCTCTCGGTGCATTGCCATAGCAACTGCAGAGAGAGGAATGAGGGGAATAAAATCACAGATACAACGCAACATGGTGACAAGGCCAGGACACGCACACCCACACACACGCGCACACACACAACCAGGCATTGGTTTCTTCTTCCAATGGAGAGCCAAAGGACGGCGGATAACTTGGCATTGAGATTTCATTGTTGTTTGACAACACACACACACACACACACACACACAACACACATGCAGTAGAGGGCATGTGTCCTTGCAGCAGGATGTTGCTTCGTTACCAAAGCAGTCACGTAGAGTGTCGTACATCACGTCTACGAGCCCAGCGCAGTTACAAGGCTCATCTTGCCATTGGCTGTACAAACACGTCGCCTCCCATAACTTCCTGGAGCGGAGCAGCAACAACATTAAGATAGCAAAGACTGAAAGACACAGGCGGAGGAAGGAAGGTGGCAGAAAAAAACAGGAAGGGAGAGATGAAGCAAATCAAGAGGATCAGGTCAGAGAGAATGAACAAATGTAACAACCCAAGAGACAAAAACATATATATAATATGCAGGTAGAATGATACTAGTAAGAGACATAAAATATACAGAGAAATATAGTACAGTATACAGAGAGGGAGCTATGAAATGCAGCAAGCAGCGAATAAAACAGGCAGCAGACATGAGAGAGAGGGGAAAACAGATGACAGCATGTTGCCTCCAGGAAGGGAAACATCCAAAACAAAGCGAGCTTCGCCTCTTACGTGGGTGTGTGTGTTAGCTTCATCGACCCACACAGACACAATGTTCATCACCGTAAATTAGTGGGAGAAACCGGTTGAGGCAGTCGTCATTCGTGCTGAGCAAGCCGAAAACACAACAAGTGCACCTTTGAATGCCAAAGCACAACAGTGAACTCGACCAGTGCTACAGAGGCCTTCACAATAGCATCTTTGTTTAGTTTCCTCCACAGGAACAGATGATCTGTGTAGGCCAAACCAGCACAACTAGTATTTTAAAGTAGTGAATGACTGAATTTATAAAGTATGCATGGTTTAATGCTTTCTCTTCTGGCTAAAAGGAGCTAAATTATAGATGGATTGGTCCAAATTTACACACAATCAATGTGCTCCTCGACCCAAAAATGTACCTGGCCTAAATGCACAGTAGCTGCGTGGAGCCCTCACCATTTATAGAACTACAGTCAAAGATTAGCTACTGGAGAACACCATGCGATGGCATCACACCTTTGCTGACCCTGAGACAGACCTTCACTTTGTCCCCAAATACACACCTGGAAAGTCAGTATTGTCGCGGTGACAAAATCTGCTGAGAGACGGACAGAAAAAAATGCTTCCGGTTCAATTATTGATGTAGCCGCCGTCTCCAGGGCCGCGTTTCACCACCATCAGTCGCTCACAGAACCACCACGAGAGAAAAAGAAAGAAATCCCCGCGCCGCTGTCGCTGGTAAAAAAGCCACATTGACACACTCTGCCTGTGGCCCGGCACCGTAGAAGGTTCACAACAACTCCAAAAGGACCACTGTCATTTTGCCAAAACACTTTCCAAGTGCGGACTCAAGGTGGGACGAATTGAAACGCTGTGCTGTGGGCTCGAAGAGTGCAGGTTTGTGAGCACCTCGCCTGCAGGCAGGGGGAGAGAAGCACGACCATCTCCAAGGTTAAAGTATTTCTGTGTTCTGAGGCTTTGTCCACTCTTGCAGTAACGCATGTTTAAAATAGGACACCACATTTATGTTTTCTTGCACATTTCAGTTCGTTTTTTTTAAGTACAACATTGGTGTTACACTGCCTTGAAAGTCAGCACCAGTCCGGTTGAGACCGGAGTCTCTCAGTCTAGAACCTTTTTACTGGGGAAGTAGATGGCTGCAGAATGTGACTTCCGTCCTTCAATATCCTGGCCAGTATTCTTATGCACCTTAACCCGAGTGGAAGCGTGTCGATGGATGTGAACACACACACGCCAGCCGTCCTTTCACTCTCACGCCCCGTAAAAGCATCTGTGGCTAAACTGACTGGAAAGGTGTGACGTGTTGAGCAGAATGTCAAGGCTCCACATTTCACACCCGAAAACCAGTTCTGTCAGCTGCAAAAGTTCATCACGGCTGCAGTGGAAATGTTTGTGGAGAGTATAGAAGCAGAACATTGGTGTCGGTGAAAAAGACCACACCACTGTGTTTAACTGAGCCTGTCAAGGTACAACTTCAAGATCTACCCTCAAAGCAAGCGCTCATTGTGCTTTGAATACACGGCCCACAGTTGTCAGACTGGAATGTCATCATGACAATGTTTAAAAAGGACAAGGCCGGCGATATTGTTTATTCATGTAAATGTAGACAAAACAACACTGTCAGCTTTCACTCCCAAGGTAACAATCTTTATAAAAAGGTCATCACGGTAGCGTACACACTTTGATTCATTTTTATCATTTGATAAAACAGCTACAACCCTATAAGTAGTAAATGGTGTTTTTCTTAGTGAGTATCAAAAGTTAAATTTAATAACTGCAAACTTATGAAATATTATTTCATTCATGCATAAAATAATAGAAAACCTATTTAACACTCCTTGCTTCTCTGCAATAATTTATCTAATCTTTTGTTTGTTTTTGTTGTTTGAAACAGTTCTTCCGTACTCAACAAGAAATGTCCCACGCACCCCTTTATGAGACATGAAAGCTGCCTCCTGATGCCCAATGCGAACACGTCTCCTGACAGAACAGTGACCGCTCAGGAGTTCAAACTTGATGACTCATCCTGAAACATGTCTCGTTATCACCAAGGTAACAGGTATTCCATAGCAACGAGGGCACCGTCCTCCACTCTCAGTGTTACGGGCGTGGGTTTGAGACGGCGGTGTCCTTCAGCTCGGCGTAAACATTCCCACAGACCTTCCCTCTGATTGATGCCTCGTTAATCTTTCATCCTCTTCGTCTGTCGGACAGCTGACTCATTCCCTCCTCCAGAGAACGCGTCTGTGCGGGGAACTGAGATCCCACCTCTATTTTTGGGATGCAGCCGATCTTTGACTGCATGCTAGACTGCCCCCCCGTGACCTCCATCTGCCCGTTATGGCTCAGCAGGATCCTGTTTCCCGCCATTAGTCATCATTTCAATACATTATTGCGATGTGCAATGTAACACAGTAAACATTGCGAATGGGGAAAAACCGGCTCCTGCTTCATTGAGT